TCCAAGGAGGTTCTGAAGGCCTATTGAAAGGAATAGGCTAATTTAAACTGAAATTGCAGGATAGGTCATTTTTGATGTTCTAGTTGCTGGCAAGTCAATTATAAGAAGACTATAGTCCATGGACTATGGGCTTTTTGTTTGTATCAAGTCTTGGTGTATCACTATACCTCACTCCTGTAGAGTTATCTAGAGTTATCTCCACTGTCAAGAATAATTATAATTTAGAATAGATTACTTACCATAAATTTGGAAATTGGAGGAACGTCTGCAAATTACATATTTATGGTCTTTTATTATGCCAAATGGGTATGTGCCTTGAGTTTTATAGTTCATGATCTCCTCATACATGTTTGGATCCATTGTTGTAATGTGCGAGCAAGAATAGAAATTCAGGGGACAATGTTGTGTGGTCATCTCCCCAATTTATAACACCATTTATTAACTTGATTAATTGATGGATGTAATTAGTGCCCTCTGAATGATGGTAATTAATTACGATTAGAATGATATGTTGCACCCATGTATCTTGCATGTGAAAAATATTAAAGAAGGTAGTAATAATAGCAATATATGGTTTTATTCATATTTATTTATTTTTATTTCATACAGGGAACATAAAAGGTGTCACCTGAAAATGTGTTTCCCTTGTGACAATAATATGAGGAACTCTTTATCTCATGTGTATTTTGGTGACATTTACATTGTTAATACATTTTGTATATTGTTTACAAAGTTGTATATCATAAACCTGTCATCTCGGACAGATAAGGCAATTTGTATGGGCAAAATTCAACTGAATATATTCAGACATAATACAAAAACAATGAACAAGTGCAAGATTAATTCAATTCACAAAAATATTACTGGAGTGTGAGAACCATTTTATTATGCTGCAGTGTAGCAAGACATTTAAATGTTGCGCCAATGCTTTTGGCCTTTTTCGCTTGCCGTACATCCAGCTGTGCTTTGACACGCCTCGTTGAGGGGGAACAGGGATTCCGGAAGGGAACAGAATCGACTGCTTCACCGGCAACATTTCTTTGTTTGTGTTTGCACACGTGCATCTGTGGTGCTGGTTTAGAGCTTGGATATTTTTGCGGGTCGCTTGGACTGCTATCTTACGAGCATTGCGTCCGCCAGGCTGCATACCAGTTTCATTTTGCTTTGTTTACAAATATAGTTTAGTTTGTTTCTTTTTGTTTGCGCTGGGTTGTTTTCAATATCTTTTTTTGTGATTTTGGTTTATTTAGCTAACAGTGGGTTTATTTTGTTGTTAATTAGTTCTGTTTTGTATTATTCTTTGTGGTTATTTTCTTTTTTTCTGGTAATGTATGTTATTCTAAATTGTGCATTCCCCCTTCCCCCCTGTCCTGTTATCCTGGTGCCCCTGGTGTGGATTATCTGCCTTTGCTGCAGAGGGTGCCGTCAGGGGGCCGGAGTGTTATAGCCGCCATAACATTGTGTTTGTAAACTTTACTTTGGTTCTCTCTTTTTTTTCATTATTTAGTGTAATTTTCTTTCTTTTTTTTTTTGTTAATGTGTGTCTCTTTGTTCTTTCTCCAGGAGCCAGTGAGGACTCTGTGTGGAACAAGGGAGGCAAGCTGCTTCATTCGGTAGGTTTGGACGACCTCCTGAGTTGCAGCCAGCTTTGTTCCCACAAAGCCTGGCCCTGGAGAATTATTTTTGTCATGTTGGGAGATTCCTGAGAGCGAGATAATTTTATTGGCACTGTTGATTTTATAATAAAGTGTATTTTTGTTTTGCTCCTCACATCTCACGTTATCTCTGTCTTCAAATGGTAAAACGTACCCGTGTGTCCTTATTGGGAGTTATTTCCCTGGCCCTCCACAGGGTGGCGTAGTCGGATTAATTTAATAATGATTCACTTTTCCCTCCACTTGAGTATTTGCCACACTAGCAAAGAGACATGTGTGAGTTACCTGAATGTGATCCCTGGATTTACGTGACTATACAACAATATCCACTAACTCTCATTAGAGTATTAGTAGACTGTATACTTAGTATTAGTATTCTAAGTATTAGTTGTGATTGACGATCAGTTAAACTTCACAGAGCACATGTCTAGAACGGCCCGGTCCCTGTCTGGACGAGATGCTTTCCATTTGAGCCACAGAAACTTTTACATTCTTACACAATTACTGTCACAACGGATGATTCTTGAGTTGTGATCATGTATTATATTTTTAATAACATTTTCATATACATTATATTTACACCATCGCCTATATATGTAATGTAATGATTATGTAACAATTACTGTCAGAACAGCTGATTCTTGATTTAGTTTTTTAATTGATTAATTATATTTTTATATACTAAAGTTTTTTATCTCCTATAAATGTAATGATCAGTTTGTCTGCGCTGCTTCACTAAAGCAGAAGTGAAACTGTTGTGTTCCAGTCCAGATCATGTAACCAATCAGAGAGTGAGACTGAAAAGCTCATTTGCATTGTCAGGGTGGAGTGATTGTGATCTCTCAGAATAGAGCAGCTCTGTCTCCAGAGACCATGTTCAAACCCCAAGAGCTTTATTTGACATTTACTGCGACATCAACCTTCTGAAAAGCTCCTGCATCTTCATCTGTTAGTTGAATGATGTTGTCAGACACAAAGTGAACTTGTTGAGAAGCTTTATTGAATGTAAAAATTTAAATAAAAAATAAATAAAAATAAAAATTATATCACTGATAATTTATTTTTTAAATCATCATTTCTAAACATTAATAATACAATCACAATTTATTCAAAATATATTAAACTGAATTATAAGCACAACATGAGCAAAAGAGATTCAGTATCATTGACTGAACTACAGAAAGTAGTAACATTTACATTCTGATGTCAAATCTCTTTTTTCCATGTATGATTTCTACTATAAAAGATTAACTATATATGAACACAGTCAGGGCTGGACTGGGACATAAAAACGGCCCACTACATATGACCATAAACACAACCGATCTTTGCACGCCCTTGAATATGTATACCAACTCCTGTCCCTTATGCCATGTATGCCATTTAATGAGTGAGTAGGAATAAGTAAGAGTTAATTACTAATTGTAAAATACAGTGAACTATACTCCACAGTGATGAATCCTAAAACAAGCTATAAGCTTCTTTGCCATAGCAATACCCAACCCGTTCTCATCAATCTGCGTATAAATAACACGACTTTACAGTTTCAAATTGCGTGTAATGCATACGCCAATGTCCAATTTTGCTTGCATATGATACGCCAATCCTTCCCATTAACTTTGGTGGAGAGCAGACGCGTCTAAATACCACGCATCACCTTCAACGGCAATGACGTCACCAGCGAAGCTCAGTTCGCCCAGTTCACCTGATGCGCGTACATCTCTAAACAGGTAAGGAAGGTCAACAGTCCTTTTTTGTAATCAGATCACGGTGTTAACTGTATTATTTTAATTATTACAGTGTTTCTGTATAACGTTACATGGGGTCATGTGTCAAAATTGCAGCGAATGCGTTTAAATTAGTTAACGTTAGTGAACAGTGGGCCGCTCTATCTGCTTCTACTGTAAACAGACCTGTTGCAGTTTGAAATTAATAAAAGGTTTTTTTTTCTTTTTCAATCATGTTGTGACATGGGTCTTCGGCTTTTAGACATGGCTGATGACAGCACTACAAATCAAAAGACTGAATTAGTATTTGCTAACGTTTTTAGCTAAAGTGGCATGGTTAGCATAAGCCTACGGGATCCCCCAGGGGTCAATCATGTGGACTAAAGTGTGTATGGAATAATTCAGGCACGCGCAGACATTACTAGTTGCTTGCAGATGCATGATACTGTAGGGTTGGATTAGACTCCTATCCCTAAGATATTTGATTTCTAATGTCATCATATAGTGCATTTTACCTAAATTGCACATTGTTGGTTTGATTGCTTCTATTAACCTTTACCCTCATATCACTGATGTGGTCCAAACTTTCCATTCAATTATAATAGTCAGCCAGTTTGAGTTGCAGGCAGATCTCAGATCTAACTGACACCTTTATTTTTTGTTTAAGATCTGATTTAGAATATCAAGAGAAAATAAGAGCAAACTAGAAGCTGTTCTTCAGCTCGGGGATGCATTTGTTGAAGAGATACAGGCAAGTTTCATTCTTGTTATACACAAATGTGTAATTAATTAACTCCAGTTAGTTAATGCCTATGTTTCACCCATCTACTTTTCATTGCATGTGCATAAAGAAACGTAACACAGGGTTACAAACTCAGAAGGCTGATGGACAATCTAAATCAAATCTAAAGTGACCTGGTGGAAGAGGGACCGTGATGGGCAGCGTATGACCACCGGCAAACGGAGGAAAAAAGGTTCATCTGCTGGTTAGTGTACATCTTATAAAATGTATGTCAAATACTTTAAATGGAGAGTGATGATGTGTGATTTAGAGTAGGAACTGGTTTGATAATGCTGTTGTTACTCAATATTCTGTATGCTTGCACATTATAATGCCAAATACATTTATGTTTGATAGTTTCCATGTTGCAAGTTTTGCCAAAGGTTTCAGCTTTTATTTTTGTACAACTGGCAAAGAGTTTGAAAGAATTGTACTCTAATAAGATGTAAACATAAAAACCCCCCAGCAAATACTATTCACCCAGCCATAAGCAATATATCTTTTAAAGGTGTAGGACATGACTGTACTCATAAAGAGAGATTTCTGAGTTTGACAAATATGTTTAAAATGATTCTCCAGACAAACCCTAGTGTCTTATCAGCCTGACAAACATAAGCAAGAATATTCACAATCAATAAATATGTACAATTAATCACTAAATGGTTCAATAACATTATTCTGAGAGTAAAATCTTCTATGTAGAGTGTATATGAGTTTGTTCTCAGCACAAGCTGTTGTAAATCCTGCCCACTTCTTTGCATTGTCAGCAGATGCTTCAGTGCTCTGAGAGTGTTTATAGTGCTGTGAGTTTAACACTTCATGACTGAGAGCAGAACACAACACACTCTTCATCATCACACAAGACTAAACTACAACTATGAACAACATCTACATCTTCATCTGGACTCTGACTCTCTGCATTCAGGGTAAATATCTTGCATTAATATATTGCAAAATAAACAATCACATTCATTTACAGTCCAATAACCATTAATGACTAAACTGTCTAATTTCAGAGATCTGGGGACAAGTGACAGTGACTCAGAATCCAGCAATAAAACCCGTCAAACAAGGAGAAACTGTTACAATCAGCTGTAAAACCAGTCAGCCGCTTTCTGCCTGTAGTAACTGTGTGTCCTGGTATCAGCAGAAACCTGGAGAAGCTCCTAAACTCCTGATTTATTACATAATAAGCCGTTATACTGGAACTCCATCTAGATTCAGTGGCAGTGGATCTGGCAGTGATTTTACTCTGACCATCAGTGGAGTCCAGACTGAAGATACAGGATATTATTACTGTCAGAGTTATCACTATATCAACAGTAAAAAGGTGTTCACACAGTGATAAAGAGTCGTACAAAAACCTCTGTCAGTCAGACGTCACAGTGACTGCACTGATAAAGCTGAGAGAAACTGCAGCTGCTGATGGAGGATCACAAACTACACAATATCAAACCTTTCACACACTTTATTCATTTATTATGATGTTGTTGTAGACTTTTCCCTAAACCTAACTACTCTACCAATAATACTTATACTCTAGCGCGTCTATTATATTGACGTTAGCTAAGTTTACACCTCTACGAGTCTACAGTCGACTTCAGTATCCGTCTAATCCTATTATCCAGCGAGTCTACAGTCGACTACAGAATCCGTCTAATCCTATACTCCAGCGAGTCTACAGTCGACTTCAGTATCAGTTCTCTACCTATACTCCAGCGAGTCTACAGTCAACTTCAGTATCAGTTCTCTACCTATACTCCAGCGAGTCTACAGTCGACTTCAGTATCCGTCTAATCCTATACTCCAGCGAGTCTACAGTCGACTAATGTATCCGTCTAATCCTATACTCCAGCGAGTCTACAGTCGACTTCAGTATCCGTCTAATCCTATACTCCAGCGAGTCTACAGTCGACTACAGAATCCGTCTAATCCTATACTCCAGCGAGTCTACAGTCGACTTCAGTATCAGTCTAATCCTATACTCCAGCGAGTCTACAGTCGACTTCAGTATCCGTCTAATCCTATTATCCAGCGAGTCTACAGTCGACTTCAGTATCCGTCTAATCCTATACTCCAGCGAGTCTACAGTCGACTTCAGTATCAGTCTAATCCTATACTCCAGCGAGTCTACAGTCGACTACAGTTTCCGTCTAATCCTATACTCCAGCGAGTCTACAGTTGACTACAGTATCCGTCTAATCCTATACTCCAGCGAGTCTACAGTCGACTTCAGTATCCGTCTAATCCTATACTCCAGTGAGTCTACAGTCGACTTCAGAATCCGTCTAATCCTATACTCCAGCGAGTCTACAGTCGACTTCAGAATCCGTCTAATCCTATACTCCAGCGAGTCTACAGTCGACTTCAGTATCAGTTCTCTACCTATACTCCAGCGAGTCTACAGTCGACTTCAGAATCCGTCTAATCCTATACTCCAGCGAGTCTACAGTCGACTTCAGTATCCGTCTAATCCTATACTCCAGCGAGTCTACAGTCGACTTCAGAATCCGTCTAATCCTATACTCCAGCGAGTCTACAGTCGACTTCAGTATCCGTCTAATCCTATTATCCAGCGAGTCTACAGTCGACTACAGTATCCGTCTAATCCTATACTCCAGCGAGTCTACAGTCGACTTCAGAATCCAACTAATCCTATACTCCAGCGAGTCTACAGTCGACTACAGTATCCGTCTAATCCTATACTCCAGCGAGTCTACAGTCGACTACAGAATCCGTCTAATCCTATACTCCAGCGAGTCTACAGTCGACTTCAGAATCCGTCTAATCCTATACTCCAGCGAGTCTACAGTCGACTTCAGAATCCGTCTAATCCTATTATCCAGCGAGTCTACAGTCGACTTCAGTATCCGTCTAATCATATACTCCAGCGAGTCTACAGTCGACTACAGTATCCATCTAATCCTATACTCCAACGAGTCTACAGTCGACTTCAGTATCAGTTCTCTACCTATACTCCAGCGAGTCTACAGTCGACTTCAGAATCCGTCTAATCCTATTATCCAGCGAGTCTACAGTCGACTTCAGTATCCGTCTAATCCTATACTCCAGCGAGTCTACAGTCAACTACAGTATCCGTCTAATCCTATACTCCAGCGAGTCTACAGTCGACTTCAGTATCAGTTCTCAACCTATACTCCAGCGAGTCTACAGTCGACTTCAGAATCCGTCTAATCCTATACTCCAGCGAGTCTACAGTCGACTTCAGAATCCGTCTAATCCTATACTCCAGCGAGTCTACAGTCGACTACAGAATCCGTCTAATCCTATACTCCAGCGAGTCTACAGTTGACTTCAGAATCAGTTCTCTACCTATACTCCAGCGAGTCTACAGTTGACTACAGAATCTGTCTAATCCTATACTCCAGCGAGTCTACAGTCGACTTCAGAATCCGTCTAATCCTATACTCCAGCAAGTCTACAGTTGACTTCAGAATCCGTCTAATCCTATACTCCAGCGAGTCTACAGTCGACTACAGTATCCGTCTAATTCTATACTCCAGCGAGTCTACAGTCGACTTCAGAATCCGTCTAATCCTATACTCCAGCGAGTCTACAGTCGACTTCAGAATCCGTCTAATCCTATACTCCAGCGAGTCTACAGTCGACTTCAGTATCCGTCTAATCCAGTGGTTCTCAACCTTTTTTTTCAGTGGGCCACACTATGTCTAAGTTCAAGTTTCACGGGCCGCATATCATTTACATTTGGCGTCACCAATGCAAACTAAGATATTGAGCATTAAGGTATCTAAATGATTACAGTTAGATTTATTATTATTATTAGAGAGTATAATTCTACTTACCATTAATGAGACACCTGATGTTGTCGGGAGCAGACCAATTTGGTGAAATTTGGCTCAAAAGGAGTAACAGCACAATGAAGTTGTGACTGTAAGTTGCAGTCTGTAAGACGTGCACGGAAACGTGACTTGATGCGCGTCATTGCAGAAAATGTGCGTTCGCAAATGTATGTCGACCCAAATATGGAAAGCACTTTTGAACTTAATAATCTGAGGTTTTGTCCAGAGATGTTTCGCCACATTTCTGTAACTGAGGATGACTGTTGCGCGGTATGGCTGTGTCCTCTTGCCTGAACATCCATCAGTTCATCTTCGAGTGCGCGGCGGGACAAACCGAAAGTTGCAGCCAAGTCCTTGATTTTTTCCACAGGGAAAGTCAATGGCTCTCTGATGAAATGTCCTGCAGATTTTATTTTCTCAAAATCAGAAAAACGTGAGGTGAATTTTTCCTGCATTTGACTGAGAGTTTTAACGAATCGTTCTTTCTGTTGTATGTCCAGTACACCCTCACACACGTCATTCAGAAGTGGAAAGTGAGTTAAATCATCATCTTTGAGTTGTGCCGTGTACAGCCCTAGCTTCATTTTGAAACTCTCAACACAGCTCAACAGGTCATCAACATGTTTTTCTTCACCTTGAAGTTGTAAGTTCAGCTTGTTTAGGTGAGCTGTGACGTCTGAAAGAAAAGCAACGTTTGTTTTCCACTCATTGTCTCTCAAGACTGGAAATCTTTCTCCCTCGCCAATGTCATTAAGAAAGTTTACTATCTCGGGGAGAACAGCCAGAAAGCGATGCAAGACTTTTCCACGACTTAGCCATCTCACTTCACTGTGCAGAATGAGGTCTCCGTAAGCACTGTCCAGTTCGCCCAACAACGTAATAAAACGGCGGTGCATAAGAGGCCGCGCTCGAATGAAATTGACCACCTTGACCACAGTGTTCATAACCTCCACGAAGTATCCATCAACGAGCTTGCTGCATAGTGCTTGTTGATGCACAATACAGTGAAATGCCAACAAGTCAGGGGAGATTTTTCGCATTTCAGCTACGAGACCCTTGTGTTTTCCCGTCATTGAGGGCGCACCGTCAGTAGTGATGGAGACAACTGAGGATTCCGGTACGTTCATGTCTTTGCATGCTTCACTAAGTGCTCTATAAATGTCCTCGCCCCTTGTTCGTTCATGTAGCGATTTCAATGCCAATAAATCTTCTGTAACCTCAAAAGTCTCAGAATTCACGCATCTCACCCAAATGCAAAGCTGAGCAACATCTCCGATGTCTGTCGATTCATCCGCAGCCAAACTGAGTGCTGAAGCAGTGGCTAGCTTAGTTTTTAGTTGTTCTGTCAAATTCTCAGACATTTCAGAAATTCGACGAGTAACTGTGTCATTGCTGAGCTGTAAACTTTTTATCCTGCGAATTATCTCGCTCTTGTTGCTCAGGTCATCAAACAGACATTGTGATTCCAGAAAACAGTTCTTAACTAGCTCTCCATCACTGAATGGTTTGCCGTGTTTGGCAAGGCGCCAGGAAATTTTGAACGTTGCTAATGTCACGGCCTGAGACACTTTTAAGCTAGCTCGCATTGTATTCTGTTCAACAATGGCATTTTTTTCAAGACTAGTTATCTTGAAAGCTCTTTCCTGAGATCCAGGTGGATATTTCGTGTCAAAAGTTGCATGGGTGGTATCGAAATGCCTTTTGACATTGTAAGTTTTACATACGCCCAGTATTTTATTACAGAGCAAGCAGAAAGGCTGTCCATCTCGCTCGTTGACAGCAAACTGATTCTTCCATTCTTCAAGCACTTTCCTACCTTCACTGCTGATGCTACGACTCTTCTTGTTTGCACGTGTTCCTTTATCAGTATTTTCCTCGCATCTTTTTTCTCCTCTAATAACAAATTTGTCCATTTTGATCGTTAATTGATGCGTTTAAAATCTGCCAGAGCGCGCGCTTGCAATTGTGTGCGTTAACTGTGTTATTGTGAGTTCATAGTTGCGTCAGTACTGCGCATATGTGAAACCAGTAGCCTACATGATCACCAAAATTATTTTGACAAAAAAATAAATATTGTTCAAACTTATATTGGTTTAATAAATAAAATAAAAACAATAATGAAATATGAATTGTAAAACAATACGTTTTTTTTTTTTTTTTTTTTTACGTGATCAGCATCATGGGCCGCATCAGCATTTGCGACGGGCCGCATGCGGCCCGCGGGCCGCGGGTTGAGAACCACTGGTCTAATCCTATACTCCAGCGAGTCTACAGTCGACTTCAGTATCCGTCTAATCCTATACTCCAGCGAGTCTACAGTCGACTTCAGTATCCGTCTAATCCTATTATCCAGCGAGTCTACAGTCGACTTCAGTATCCGTCTAATCCTATACTCCAGCGAGTCTACAGTCGACTTCAGTATCAGTCTAATCCTATACTCCAGCGAGTCTACAGTCGACTACAGTATCAGTCTAATCCTATACTCCAGCGAGTCTACAGTCGACTTCAGTATCCGTCTAATCCT